TACTACACACACACACACACACACACACACATATATATATACATATATAGATAAGCAAAAATGCGGCTTGGGACCATTTGCCCCCCAAATGCCTTTTTTCCCCATCCCTCTCTTACCTCACGGTCAAACCTAGCAAGCCAAGCAGCGGCCCGCGTTGTCTCGCGGCTACTTCTCTCTGGGTTCATTTTTTTGCATCCGCAGGGGCAGTCTCCTCTGTTTTGCCGCTCTTACGGAAAAGGTATCCCCTCTCTGCCCCTTTTTCGAGAGCCTCGGAGGTGATGGTACGCTTCGCCTCCATCCCCTTCAGCTTGGCAACGGCCTTTTGCTTGGCACGTTCGCGTGAAACCTCCTCCGTCGCCAGCGAGCGCCACACGCGGTCCTCGCTGAGATCGCCAATGAAGGTGGTGTCACGGCCGAAGATGGCGCTCCCCGCCCAGTTCACCAGCACATACAGTTTATTCCTCCACGAGCCCAGGATACTGAGGTAGGCGCTGCGCCAGAAATAGAGGGCCTTTAGACCCACCAAGTCGACTTTGCCTGCCACGTTCAACTCCACAACGGCGGCACGATCGCCTAGACTCACCATAGAGCCTAGACTCTTGTACTCAAACGGTGCTGTGACGGGCTTATTGGATAGCTCCCCATTCACCTGCTTTGCAAGGTAGGTGCCCTGTCGAGAAGCAACGGCGGCGAGCGTGGGTAAGGGAAGCTTCTCGTTTGCGGCACAGTCGCCAATGGCGTATACATCGGGAAGAGGCACCCCTTTGCGAAGCACCCGCAAATGATCATCAATGGAGATGCGACCGCGCGACGTACGGTCCACATCCAAGTCCTTGGTCAGTGCGGAAGGACCAACGCCGGTGCTCCAGACTACCAGGCCGGTATGAACCACGGCGCCGTCCTTCGTGATCACCTCCTTATCATTTACGGCCACCACGGCACCCTTGACGATCTCCACGCCAAGCGCATCCAGTCGGCGCTTTCCCCAATTTCGAACCCGGAGATCAAACGTGCCAAATACCTCGCCCGCCTCAAGCACGGTAACCTTGCAGAGGTTGACGAGATTGCGGTTAATTTTGCGAACATCAGAGCGAAAGAAATCGGCCACACTCGCGGCAAATTCAACACCTGTGGGGCCTCCACCAACAACAACAACATGCAGCAGACGCTTGGCCTCTTCCAGGTCAGTGGTAGGCAAATCTGCCACCATAATATTTTGCACCAGACGCTTTCGAATTCCACGCGCCTCATTAACCTCTCGAAGGAAAAAAGCATTGTCGAAAACACCTGGAACATTGAAGGTGTTTGCCCGTGCGCCATGCGCCAAGATGAGCTTATCGTACTTTACGTTAAACGGTTGCACGGCCGCTTTGAAACTGGAGTCAACAACACCAACACCAACGCAGTTGACCTCCTTCTCGTCAAAGTTGACACCATGAACTACACAACGGTAAAAACGATTGGGTAGGCTCGCGAGAGCAGGTTGAATGCGTGAGATGGGCTCGCACACAGCTCTAAATTCCAACGTTCCTGTTGTGGTTTGGGGAAGAAGGGGAGTAAACACGTGATGATTCCGTATGGAAAGAACTTCCAGGTTTGCCAATTTGGGATCCACATAGCGTGTGAAGTACGCACCGGCCCATCCGGTGCCGACCACCACCACATTCGGGCGGAGCACAGCGTGGGTGGGGCGCAGCATTTCCTCCTTGCTTAAAACGAGAGAAAGTTGGCGTGTGCGTGTGGGGCCAGCAAGAAGAGGCAAAAGCAATATCTTTGATGCCTCTGCGGGGGGAGGGGCGGGGGGGAATATGTGTACAGTGGCTATTGGGCTCTGGAGGAGGGGAGAAGTAAACACAAAAAAAACCCACACATAAAGTGAGACGCACGCAGACAGGCAGGCAGGGAGGCACATACACAGTAGAGAGGGGTGTTAACCAACAACAGTAAAAAAGGGGGAGGAAACAAGGTGGGAGGCGGGGGCGTACACAGAAGCAGGAGAAAGGGAGTGACAAAACCAAAAGAAAAACGGCATCGCCACGAATTGGAGACGACATACCTCTGCATCCACAGAAGCCCCAACCCCGCCCCTACGCCGCACCCTTCCCTCCTCTCGGTTGGCTGTGTCTGTTCCCGGAGAACCTCCCTTCCTCTTTTCTGCTTCTGCGCCTCCTTTGGTACTCATCCCTGTTCATTACCGTCTTTCTTCCTTCTCTTCCCGCCAGCATTCCCCCTTCTTTTCTCTTTTTTTTTTGGCTGAGAAGTAGGGAGGGAAAATAAAGGGACGCTGCAAACAACAACAACAGCCTTTTAAAAAAAAGGAAACAGAAAAAAGGGGGAAAAAATGCAGACTCCCCACCGCATTCTGTAGAAGAACGCGCAGAAGCGTGAGATTAAAGCACCAAATGTGTTTCATCCCGCTTTAATATACGAAGAAACAGCAATCGCACCGAAGTGTAGAAGAAAGAGAAACAATATTGAAAAGACGGAACAGAGGAAGCCCGAACCCTGTTCCACTCCTCCTTCCTTACCACAGCTCCCTTGCTGGACTGCCGACTTTTTGTTTTTGTTTTTGTTTCTCTTCTCAGATGCTGTTCCGACAAACGCATACATATGTGTGCATATATATATGTAGTTGCTTACAATCCGCATTTTCGTTTGCTCTCCATCTCTCTCCATAGTTTTTTTTTTACTTCATTCCTTGCACCCCCCACCCCCATTCCCTTCCACTTCCCCTCCCTGTTCCTTAAATTTCATGGAAGGGCGAAACGCTTCATGGTTGCCGCGGCGCCGCTTCCGGGGAATTCTCGTTGCTGCTTGACTTGCCGGTATACAAGCAACTCCGCCTCTTAATCGACCGCATCCCGATTTGGGGCCAGTCGCCCTCCTCCACCAACGCGTCCACGGAGATGAGGTCGGGGTTGTGACGCTGCGGCACGGGGTGCTCGCCGACGTGTTCGATGCTCTGCTCAGAGTGGATCCGGTAGATCGCCTCGGCGAGGAGTTTGGCGATGGAGATGATTTTTAGCTTGGAGCACTTCCGCACACTCTCGTCCTGGGGAAGACTGTCGGTTACCACGACCTCCACCAGCGCATCGCAGGCGTTGATGCGCTCGCAGGCAGGGTCAGTGAGAATGCCATGCGTCGCCCAGGCATGCACTTCCTTCGCCCCATTCTCCCTCAGGACTTCTGCCGCCTTGCACAAGGTCCCGCCGGTGTCAATCATATCGTCCACAATGATGCAGGTGCGGCCGTCCACCTCACCAACGAGTTGCATGCTCTCAACGTGATTTGCCTCCACCCGGCGCTTAAGAATAGTGACAATGCGACTTACGCCAAGGCGATCTCCCATGCGTCTTGCACGGTTTACTGCGCCCGCGTCTGGAGCGACGATGACGATGTTAGTGGTGTCAAAAGCCTTTTGCTTCGAATACTCCGCAAACTCGGATGTGGCACTAAGGTCAGACACAGGGCAACCGTGAAAAAAACCCTGAATTTGGCCACAATGAAGATCCATAGTGACGACGCCGTTTACACCTAGTTCCGTGATCATGCGGGCCACGGCAGATGCACTGATGGGAACTCGGGAAGTGTGCTTACGGTCCTGCCGGGCGTAGCCGTAGTGTGGGATGACCGCGATCACGCGCCTTGCGGAGCTGAGCTTCAGCGTGTGGATAATAAGTAGGAGCTCCATCACGGCCTGATTCACGTTGATAACCCCATTACCGCAGGTGGGCTGAACCAAAAAGACGTCGTCTCCGCGCATCGACTCAAGAATTTTGACATTTATTTCACCGTTTGAAAAGGTTCCAACGCGGCAGGATGTAACGGGGACGCGGAGGGCCTTACAGATTCCCTCGGCCAACTTGGGATTACTGTTCCCATTTACAATGCGAAGATTTCCGTTGCGGTTATTAGTACCATGCGAGAGGTACTTCTCACACTGTGACATGCACGCGCAGCGTCTTGCTTTCCTCTCACCTCCTTAATTTCTTTTTTTTAAGACCTTGTTCTGTTACTGTCGTATATGTCGCTCTTGCAGCTTACCAGGACGGGGTGCCTGCGGCCGCAAAACACCGGGGCAGAGAAAAAAAAAAGAAGCAGTCAAGCAGGGGAAGAGACGCAGAATGAAAAGAGCGAGAAAGAGAGAGAAGGAAGAGGCAACCAGAAACATGGCCTCCGTTCACCACGTAACCGCCTTGCGTTGTTGCTCGTTGGTGGCTGTGTTGGTGGCCTCTATCCTCTTCTCTCTCGCCCTCTCCCCCATCAAACCGGGGAGGATAGTAAACACACACACACACACACACACAAAGAAACAGAAGCCACCACCGCAGCCCCCGTTACTGTCCCCATGCTTTTCTGCCGCACGCGGCAACACCAAGGCACAAAAAAACAACAACAACAACAACAACAAAAACCAGGTAGTACACAAGTAAAGGACGGCAACCAACAAAGCAAGTTGAACAAATCTGGTGAAGACGACATCAAAGCCCATTGCGATACGTGAGTCAATGTGAGAGTTCATTCTTGTAGATGGAGGAGAGGAGTTCATTTTGTAGCTCTGCAGGCGTGGTGGGTGCTGCTGTGCCTGAGTCCTCGTGCTTCCAACGTGCGAAGGCCCCTTGTAACGAGGGCTCCGCCGACCTTGACTGAAACGACCGCACCATCTCCTTCATGCCATCTGGGTCAAGGGGGCCAAACGAGACGCGTCGATCAACGCGGCCGGGACGTAGGAGCGCATCCGGTGACGGCAGACGCGAGGCATCGTTGGCTGTGATAATGAGTAGCCTTCCCTCACTGCTCGCAATACCGTCAATGGCGTTTAGCAACGCGCTCAGTGAGACACCGGCCTCCCGTCCCCCGCCAACCTCCGTGGAGAGCGCACACTGCTGTGGGGAGGAGGTGATGGACGGGGCCTTAATGGCGGTCTCCAGATCCTCGATGACGAGCAAACTTCGGGGCGGCACTGAATTTATAAGCCCAATAAGTGAAGCATCATCCAACTCCTTGGACTGCAGCGACAGGAGATAAATAGGGAGAGAAAGCTCACTCGCCAAACCGAGAATAAAACTTGTTTTCCCTGTCCCTGGGGCTCCCTCGAAGAGGTACCCACGACGCCAAGGGACACCAAGCGACATGTACAGCTCCCTCGAGCGAAGGAAGAGTTTTGCCTCTTCAACCGTCGCCATCGTGGAGCGGGGGAGGTACAGCGTAGATAGTGGACGCCGAAGCCGCTTCGCCAGGAACTCCCACCTAGTGCCCCAGCCATTTGGCAAGTAGAGGCGAACGGTGCTTTTTGACTGCTCCTCCGCAGAGGCCCGGACCTCCTCCATGAACTCGTGCACCACACGCCTATCACGTGAAAAAAACACCAATTGCAGTATCTCATCCTCCCGGTCCATGCGTGAGGCGGATTTGTGCTGCTTCGAATTGTCCAGAGATCGGGTGATCCAGAGCCGCGTACGGCCAAATTTCATGTAATGGCTCCCAAAGCCAGGAACGAAGTCACCTCCAGAATCGGCCCCATCACGCAACTTCCCCTCTTCCGGCACCTCATCACGGATTGAAATGGGCATGAGAGAGATGTTTCTCGCCCGCCTTCCCTGCGGTTGTCGACCCATCCAGTCCAGAATCATGGCAAACTCCTCGCGGGAGGAGCGAACCTCAAGAGTGAGAAAGAACATTTCCCTCAGCTTTCTACTGATGTTCTCCTTCTGTGAATTAAGCGCCTCCCAGACAGCCGTTAAAATAAGAATCATCAACGCTAGGGAAGCGGCTTCGCGGTTAAAAAAGGTCCAGGGACGGGCGTCAGTCCGTCGCATGCCTGGGTGCGTGCCCGCTCCGCTGCCTCCGCCACAAGAGCCGACGTTATACGGTTTTGAAAAGCAAATACCTCGTCGACGACCTCTTCGTCCTCCGTCCTGTTCTATTGGAGTGGGGGCGACGCCGGCCGCGGGATGTCCCTGTCGCCCGCTCAAGGCGGCAAACAGACCCGTGGGTGATGTTAACAACGACTGAGGATCTGGCAGCTCCAGCGTACGGCGAGAATTCCGCAGTGCACAGCCGCAGGAGGAGACATGGAGCCGTGGCCCAACCCCGAGAGTGAGGTGCCGCCACATTGACAAGTTTTTCACTCTCCCCTCCGCCTTGTCTCCTTCCCGCCCTCACCCCCACCCCCATCCCCACCCCCACACAGACAGAGAGAGAGGGAAAGGCAGGATGCCCCAAGCAAAGGCGAATAGAAACTATTCAGAAGCAATCAAAAAAGAGGCATGCCCTCAGCAACACATTTTTTTAAGGAAGTTCATATGACTCTTTATGACTGCCCCATCTCCGACGCGCTTTGTATGTTTGTTCGACCACCTCCTTCGTTTCTTTTCTTGCTGCTCTTGTTACGAAGAATACATGCCCACTTACACGCAAGCCAGCACCGATTCTCTCGCTTTCTATCTCTCTCTTTCCTACACACACAGACCCAGACACAGACACAAACGCAAACACCGTTGTTTTAGACCTCAATAATGCTGTATCCATCCTGAAGCTTCACCGGTGGAACGGCGTCACCACTGCGTGCCACAACAGTTCCAATCACCCATGCCGGTTCACCGTCGACGTCGCTAAGTTCTTTTACGTATCGCTCCGCTGTGCCAACGTCCCCAAATGCCACAAGTAGCCCTCCGCTGGTTTCTGCAGAATACCCTTTGAGTAGTTGATATTTGTCCGACATCAGCTTCGATGCCTTTACAGCCCCCTTGTACATCGGAAGCTTCTCCAATATCAGGCAGACTTCTCTCTCCTGCGCCACCGCAAGGTTATGGGCGTGCCCAACAATACCAAACCCCGTGACATCCGTAGCACCATGAGCGCCGTGCTGTCGCATCAATCTGGCTGCATTGCGGTTCAAGCGCTTCATGCCATCCGTCGCCGCATTGTACAGTTCCTCTACTTCCTCCTCGGTCATTTTCCCTTGTATAGTGTCTAAAAACATGGGCGATGGACGACGCAGCCACTGCTTAAGATTCACTGCGACTTGACACCCGAGAGGCTTTGTCAGTACCAGCACATCCCCAGGGCAGAGCCCAGTCGGTCGCACCATTTCAGACTCCGTCACAACGCTTGTCGCAACTCCGCCGATAAGGGGCCAGGGATTCATGACAGTCTGTCCACCGGTCACATCCGACCCTGCCAGGCGGACGTGATCGACAAACCCCTCCATCATCGCACGCGTGGTGACTTCACGCTCCACCGCGTCCATGTCTGTGCTTGAAGCCAACATCATCAGAACGGTGTCGCAGCGATCAATCCCCATGCTATATAAGTCAGAGAGGACGTTGGCAGCACCGATTTGTCCCTGCAAGTAGGGATCCTCAACACTGGGGAAAAAAAAATCGGTGGTGGAAACCATAAACAGCGCATCCCCACGCTCATCCCTCTTTGAAAGTTGGACGACGCTGCAATCCATACCAACGTCCTTCTGCCCTGGCGTGGTGGAGACGGCGCGAAGCAGGGCCAGCAGCTTGGGCTGCGGCAGTTTGCAACTACAACCCTTGAGGCGGGTGTAGTCCGTGAGCGCAAACTCCGACGGTAGGCCGATTTCGGTGGGGTCGAACCTAGATGCTTTCACGCCATCTTGTTGATGCATCCTTTTTCTTCTCAAAACTTCCTTCCCTCTGCCTGCTTTTGTCTGTCACGCTATTGCTGCGTGTCCGCTCTGCTTCCTTCGTTGGCGTGCTCTGGCGCAATGCCCCTAGGCACCAGGAGAGCAAGGGAGGAAGACACTTGAAGAAGCCCCGCAAAGGTCACAAGAAGAGAGAAAAAAGAGAGATGCATAAATAACTGCCAGGAAGCAAACACCCAACAGCAGCAACGGCCAAAAAAAAACAACACACACACATGTGCACTGCAGAGCTGCCGAATGCGATGAGGAGGCATTCACGCCTCATCATTGGGGCCCAATAGGAGCCGCTCACCCGTCCACCTCTACCTCAGCAGAAATTAAAGTTCATCCAAGAAGGCCTGAACATCCTCGTCCAGTTGCTCCTCACGCTCCCGCTTCTCGCCAGGCTTCGGAGCCCCGTCGTTATCCTTCTCAAGGGAGGACACCCATGTACGCGGATCATAGCGGCCCTCTATCTGCGCCATACGCTTCCTATTATTCTCGCGGAACTCCTGCGCCTCGGGATCGTCAGACAAAATCCACTCAATGCGTTCCATCGCGTGTTGCAAGGCTTGCTCGTTGGGAGCCGTAATACGAGCATGCGGCTCCTCAAGCGCGACGCGTGCGGCGTTGGTGCTGGTGTCCTTTAACGTATTTGTGATGCCGCGTCCGGCAAGCACAATCTTGCACTTTGTCTTCTGCTCCAGCTCTTGGTGCACCAAACCACGGGCGCCCAAAATGGCACCGTAGGCGCCGTTGTCCATCTCATCCTGTGAAAAGTAGCGCTTCCGCACAATTTCCTTTGGCGCCGTCGGGTTTGGTCCCATCTCGGCGTTTTGTCGAAGAATATTTGTCAGCTCGTCCATCGTTCTTCGCCGCTTTTCCGCCACAAGCTCATCTGGCGTGTTTATGCGCTGACCGTCGCTGTTGTACTCCGGCTCCACCGGGATATTTATAAAGTAGTCCTCGCAACGCTTCGTCTCGATGAAGCGGTTGAGGTCAATGGAGAGCACGCGAAGGAGAAACGCCTTGAGAAACTGTCCCTCGTCGTAAAGCAGGAGCTCGGGGGGGATGTAGTTGGGGATGAGGAGGTTTGTGTACCGCTCCTTGCTCCAGCGCGAGGCCCTCGGCGGCGCCTCCATCTCTTGCAACAAACTTCAAGGAAAAAGACAGCAGGGGCGACAATGACAGCGACGTACAAGGTGGAGACTGACACAACAAATGGAACTCCCCCCTCCCTCTTCCCTCCACACACACGCACACACACACACACACGCAACTGCTCTGAGTGGAAGAGTGAGAGAAGGGAGAGCAGCAAAGAAAACGCCAAGTGAGAGAGAGGGTTACAAAAATGGGAAAAGAAATCGACTGAGCCTGCAAAAAACCTCACGACTTCCCAATCAATGATGCGGGGGAAGAAAACTCTGTCTTTCTTTTTTTTTGTGTGTGTGTGTGCTTTGCATCTCCCTCGGGAGTTAGGGCTTTGTGAAGTACACTGCATTACCGTCCACTGGCCGAAGCTGCAGCAGTGTGTGGGGGCTCTTCCTGGCCTGGGAGTGAACAAACTCATCCACCGCCTTTCGACACCCGTCCCAGTAGTTGTAGTCATCCACCTGCACCACGCCTCCCTTGAGCACGAGCGGCCACAAAAGTTCCAGGGCACACCTTGTCGATTCATACCAATCTGCATCCACATGCAACATGGCGACGCCCTCGGTATCAATCTCCCTCAGAAGCTGCGGGAGCGTTTCCTGAAACATGCCTGGGACAATCACCAACTGCTCTTCCACATCAAAGTCCTTGGCGAGGCGTCGAACATTTTCTTGGAGGGCACTGCACGTTCCGCTCCCCCACGCGGTTGCTTCCGCGGGGGTGCTGCCGCCCTTCAAGACATCAGACGCAGTGGGGTCGGGCATGCCATCGAAGGTGTCCAAGGCGTACACCTTTCGCGGGTGCTCACTGTAATGTGCCGCCACTACCGCGAGCAGCACCGCCGAGCCCCCACCAGCGACGCCGCACTCCACCAGAGCGCCCCCCGGACTGCTACGACATGCCTCCTTCGCCGAGAGGTACAACCCATACAGCCGTGTCCATGTGAGCATGGTGTGGTCCAAGAGGGCGTCGCAGAGAAGACCGAAGAGGGGCTCACGCCTCACAACTTCCGCAGGCGGGAGCAGGCAGGAACGCACCTTACCATTGATATCGTACAGCAGCATGCGCGCCGCGGCGTTCTCAGGAAAGTGCCGCAACTCTTCTAGAAGAGCTTGTCGAGCGTGCAACGCGTCATCGTTCCCCAACAAGAAACACAAGGCACGACAATAATCCACATCTTTGACGCGTTTCCGCAAACGCTTCGTTTTGTTCAGCTCCACAAGTGTTTCTGCGTGCTTCCCTGCCTTGATGGCAGCCGCCACCTCGGCAACATTGCGGCGCCAAACGGACCTGCAGAACATTTTGCGCCTCACCTTTGCCGCGACCGCAGTACACGGGGAAGAAATATATATATATATATATATATTTATATATATACAGCCAGCATCAAAGAAGTGGATACAAACACCAAGCACACAAACAAATAAACCCCGCCATCCAAGAGCAACTACAATCAGATGTGCAGAGGACCTCCCGCCGTGCAGGGCGGACAGACACACACACACACACGCACACACAGAAAGAGATAAAGAAATTGAACAAGGGCGGAAGTCACGTCACAAACGGCCCACTGCACGCCCAGCAACACCGTGGTTGACACCTTTACACATTAAAGTCACAAAGACAAACACCAACACCAACACAAGCACGCACACACACGAATACAGGCCCCCAATGAATAAATATTAGAAAAAAAGAAAGAAATAATCGACATATAAGAGACAGTGAGTCCATGTGACGTGCCAAAGGGATTACTTCCCCAGGCGTCCAAAGCAACACGCTTTTTTAACTTTTTCTTTTCTTTTTGGCACTCGTCATCCGTGTGCACTGAACTAGCGAAACCAAGAGCCCACATGATGATGGCATTGTCATGAAGTATCAAGAAGAAAACACTCACACACCCACAAACACAGCGACAAGGAAAGGGGAACACGCCACAAGAAGAATCGCTTTTTTTTTGTTAATATTTTTTCTTTCCTTTTCTCTCTTGAAGTGGTCTAAGCGTGCGTTCGAGGCTGAATCATAAGTGTACAGCTGGTCAGAAGACCTAACTCTCGCAGCGTCTTTGCGTCGTCCGTGTAAGTTACGGCAGGAAAAGACAAACGCACATCATACGCTGCAGTGAAGCTCGGCACCGCTGACTTGAGCTCGTGCCGAAGGTCTGCAATGGTGCTTTCTGGTGACAGTTGCAATGTAACCTTTACGCCAGATGGAAAGCGCACTAGCACCGCGACAAGCCCCCGGATGCGGTGGGGTGACACAGCCGCATCACCACTCTCGGCTTCAGTCGCGCTTCCCCCTCCTGTCACTCGCCGCTCAGCCTCGGAGACGTGTCGCACGGTTTCCGCTTTGGACGGACGACCAATAATGTTCGCAATCGCTTCTCGTACAGGGACAATTCGGCCGTTCGTCGTGATGCGTGTGGCCGGCAGTCGCTTAAGGAACTCCTCTCGCGACACAGGCTGATAGCCGCCGCCGTCCTGCAGATCCCGAAGGTCCTTGACATTAGCGTCATCTTTCTTTGCATCCTTGCCCTTGCTGCAGCGAACGGATGTTTGGTCAATAACTTCAATAGGAAACCCGTCAGGAAATCGTTGCTTGAACTCATACGGGTAGAATCCTTCGGCGAGGTCGTTCACCACGGCATCACACAACGGCCAGCCAAATGGTCTAAACGGGCCACCGTTAACGCAAATGCCGTCCTCATACACGACGATACGCACCACCTCAAACTCCTTTATCCCACCCTGCCTGCCATTTGTCACAACGCCCCTACAACCCACATGATCTGAAAGAATCTTTGCATTTCTCTGAAGCACCTCTATGGAAACAGGCAATGAGGCGGCAGTGTTAGTCTTGCTAGGGGTCCTTCTACCTACTGGGAGAGGCTTCTGTGTGGGTGCGTCATCTGTGCCGCTCGCGCGCGGCGTCGGACTAGGAGAAAGCACCGGTGTCTGGTTGCTATAGTCCCCCGCATAGAGTTCAAAGGACTGCGACGTGGCGGGCTCCGACGAGGGCGAGCTTCCTCCTTTGGCAAATGCGACACGCTCGTACCCTCGTGAATTGGCACCCCGGTTTTTGCTCCTCTCTTCCGCCCTGTCTCCCACCCACTTTAATCCATAATCGGCCAGAAACTTCTGCATGTCCCCCACAAGCCGCTCCAACTCCTGCTTCTCGTCGTAGAGCTCCACGACCATCGCCTCCGCCTCCTCTCGCTTGGCCTTTTCCTCCTTGTAGTTCGCCTCTGCGCAGGCAAGTTTCTCCGTTTTTTCCTTCAGCTCCATACGGTATGCTTTTTGCTGCGCCTCCAGGGTCTTCAGTCGCTGTGCCATCGCACCTAAAAGGTCACCGCCGCCGCCCGAAACCCGGTCGCGAAGGGACGCGGGGTAGTTCCCCTCGCGGCTGTGGCGCTTCAGCGACGCCGGCGTCCCCGACGACGGACGATCATCGCGCGTCGTCGTCGCCACGGCCCCCATGACGTCGCGGACAATTCGCTGCCGCACCTCGTCGTCAAGCACGTCCGGCCTGAGGAGATTTGAAAGCTGCTGCCCCGCGGGGAGCCGGAACTTCTGCAGCGGCGGCTCCGCCCTCTTGTCGTTGCCCGGCATCTTCAACCGGGCACCAGAGGCAGGGCCGGCGACGCGCGTGAGGAAACTGCTGAGGAAGTAGGCCTACAAGCACACACAGCGGCGCCGCACAACCTTCGCTTCCAGACTGGAAAGGGACGAAGCGGGGAAGCCAACAGCGCGCATCCCACAGGAATGGTGCCGGCCGCTCACCCAGAAACGGATAGCGGGACAAAACAGAAAACAAGACAAAAAAACATCAACACCAACGCACTCCACTTTTTTTTTTCGTTTTTAATCAAACGACAACGCAAGGAATGGGGTTCACTCCCAGGCTCTCCATTCCTTGCTCCCACTCGCACACAACCGAGGCTGCGACAGCGATTTCGTACAGACACAGCTGTCGCACTTCCGTGATCGTCCACTCTCGCAGCGAGCTGCCTCTTCGCCCTGGTCGACAGTAAAAACGGACGACGGTCTCCCACGCCTCTCTTCTTGCCCCTCCCTGCTTGTCGGCGTTTCGCGTCCCCGCCCGTTCAGTGGACGCGTTCACGTGGCCTGGGTCACAGGCGCGATTGGTGGGATAAAGGAGCTCCCAGGCCTGTCGCTCCGCCCCCCAGCGCGGCTGTGTGAGGCGTTTTTTGTACTCTCCAATGACAGAAGTCCACTGATCGAGTCTACGGTCATGGCCCCTCTTTTCGCCCGTGCCTCGGTATCGTTGCACCAACCTTTTAACGACTCTTGGCAGCTCTGACGGGGAGGCGCCGTGGAGGGCCGCCACGGCGGTGCGGTTCACCTTTCGAATTAACCCCCGTGGGCAAAACAAGTACCACTCGGCGACTCCAGTGAGTGCCCCCTCCCCATCCCCAAAGACGCAACCGTCCTCCTGAGCTGCGTCATTCAGCCACTTCCAGATGGCCACCCGCATCCGCTCCTGGTGCCGTCGCACGTAGTCTGCTTCACGTAACGCCACCGTCGCCGCAGTGTGTGGACGCGGCAAGCGGCAGTGCAGCAGTTGCCCTCCTCTTCTGTCCTCGTCCTGCGGCTCGCGGTTCAGCGTGTTTCGCTCCAGCACAGTCCAGTTGGAGGAAAGCTGCACATAATACGGGGGAAGTTGAAGGACCGCACCCTCCGGTGCCATGCGAAGCGTCTCCGCCGCCTCGTCCTGCAGCACAACGACGGTGAAGCCGTTGATTCCCATTGCCGCCGCGCGCTCAGCAGAAAGAAGCAGCTGAACCAGCAGACACACACAAGTCAGAGGCAGGAGTGAAGCCATGGCTGCGAAGCATCCACGCCCCACCGTAAATTCCTTCCTCTTCTCTGCCTTTGATTTTTGCTTTGTTTAGTTTTGCAAATGGAGTTTGAGAGAAAGACGACGGCCAAAAGAAAAAAAAGGCCGGAAATAAAAACGACCAAATAGCAGTGAAAAAAAAAGATGCTTGGAAGTATACACGCAGAAACACAGGTCCATGCACCACCTAGTCTACCTTGGCGTATACTCCGTCCGTCCGTCCGTACATTACAAGTTGTAGTTTACAGTGTGCCGTTGTGGAGGCCCGTCAATGGGGCGTTGCTGGGCGCCGGGGTGCACCCGTGCCCGGCCTCGGCCGCACCTCAGCAAAGCAACTCTTGCGCAGCTGCGGGAGCGCCGGGTCTCTCCTTCTTGGGGGCGCCACCACCGGCGGGGCGCGCCTCAGCGAAGGCTCGGAGGGGTCAAATGCAGCACTTTGTCTTCGGTTCCGCGGGGCAGCGCGGTTGCTCAGGTGCGGGCCAGGAGGTGGGCGAAACTCAGACAAAAACAAGACTGAGCCACGCCTCACAGCGCATAAACCCGCAAATGCATACTGCGGTGCCCTTCAAAACAATACGCTACGCAAGAGCCGACACACAACTGATAAGGCGGAGACAGGAAGCAATGTATTATCAACTAACACACGCAAAAGGGCCACCAGCCTTTTCACAAGTTTCCAGCACAAGCAAGCACACACAAAAGCAAAGCAAAGCAAAAAGGAAACAAGAACAAAAAAAAAATTACATTCAAGCCCCGTTTTCCCCACGGACCCGTACACCGATCGATCAAACCCTCGTTTTGCGGTTACCCACGCCTTTAAATGGCTAGTGTGCGGCAGACGTATACTGCACAAAGCAGGCCCCGTTTCCTTCCCTTCCAAAAAAAAAACACAACAGAAAAAGATAGCAATAAAAGCTCTTTCAGACATAGTAATTACAAACATAACATCGGAAACGCAGTACGACGTCTTCGCTCACCAGTTGAAGTTCTCTTTTGCAGCTGCGACAATATCCTCTGCGATGGACATGGACGATGTCGCAGCGGGGGTCGGGGCGTTACGGACGTTCATAACAAGTGGGTTAAGACCACTCTTCGCGACGACTCCTCCCGCGTTCTCGTGCTCCAGCAATTCAATGACTTTGTTTGGTTTAAGGACCGCGGCGATGACAGTGCGAGGCCGAGAGAGCTCAACGCTGAGGTCCATCTCTAGCTCCCCGCCCTCCGCGACAGCCATGCCCATCACACCAGCGAAACCTTCCTCCACGTCCGAGTCCTTTAGGGACGGCACCAGCTTACGGGCCTCGTGCAGGAAAACTGTGCGACTCACGTCCACACTAAAGGTCTGGAAGAGAGTACCAAAATGCTTGACAAAATTCACCCAGCCGCCTCGGCTCATGGCCGAATTCCAGCAGTACTCCAGGTCAAAGAAATATGGCGAATACCCGTAGCGATGCGTTGCTGCTGCAGACCCGGGACCCATGATGAGCTGGTGTCCACGCTGCTCATCCACCGTTGGTGTGAAGTGAACACCGACGCCGATCCCTCGCAAAGCATCCGGGGCGGGATAGACGTTCATTGACACGAGGTCGCGTGCTTCCGGCTTTAGCTGATAATAGCGTCCACGGAAACTGAAGGTCTGAACCACTTTCTTACCAATTTGGCCCAGTATTGGCCCAGACCGCTTTGCGAGAAGATCATTCGAAAGGCCACAACAGGCAATGACATTTTTGGCCACAATAGTTTTCTCTGGACCCAACTGTCCCTCTTCCCGCCCGCGAATAAGTACCATCTCCTCTGGGGGCTTCTTTTCAGCGGTTTCGAGTGATAACCCAACAAAGTCCAAAGCTTCAAACTTAAACTGGGCGTCGAAGAGGCCCTTTGCACCTTGCTGCAACTCCTTCAACATGTGGCGTGTCACGGCGGCAAAGTCCGTAATGGCCGTATTGGGAGAATAAAGAGCAGAGACACCGTGAACGTTGGGCTCCAACTTCTTAATCTCCTCTTCGCTGTGGAGCATCTTCAAATCCCGCACGCCATTGTCAACTCCTTGCTTGTATAGCTTTTCCAGGGCCGGAATCTCCGCCTCTTTTACGGCGACAATAATTTTACCCACACGTTTATAGGGAAGATTATTCTTCTTACAGTATTCAGTCATGAGGTCATGTCCGCGTGGACATAGCCGGGCCATAAGTGAATGTTGCGCATAATACATGCCTGCATGAATGACGCCACTGTTGTGGCTAGACTGATGCTGGGCAACATCCGCCTCCTTCTCAAGCAGGATAACGCGCTTCGTGGGAAACTGCTTTCGTATCTCCCGCACGGTGGCCACGCCCACGATGCCACCACCCACCACTGCAACGTCGTAGAGCTCCCGGCGGCTGTCCTTCGAAAAGGTGGTGACCGCCTCCCTCGTCCTCGCCGTGCTCTTGGGGATGGACTCGTACGTGCACTTGTAATTGATCGCGGCGCCGAAGCCGCCCACGATGCCGAGCCGGACGGCCCAATTAAGCACCCTGAGAGCCATTGCAGCCTTCACTTCGACTTAGGAACGCAAACGCCGGCGGCGATCGCAAACCGAAGAATATTCCCTTTCTGCTCTCACCTTCTCCTCACCACAGCCCGGCAGCAGCGAGAACGCATCCAGGGCAGAGAAGAAATGAAAGGTCAAATTAAACAAAAAAGAAAACAATGACAACAAATACTGCACCGGAACGGTGTCTTGGGTTATCAGCAACAGTAAAAACACGCACACACAAACGGAGGGGAAATGACACGACCCAGAACGGGAGCCGCCCTTCAACATATATATCCAGCAAAAGGAGCAAGAAACAAATGGAGGCAAACATGCGTCGCCTCGATTCCGCCACAAACACACACCAACGCACCACACGCGCACCCCGCAAACCGCGCGCCCCTCAACAGAAGCACGTTCAGCACACAGACACCAACGCCTGCGTGACGGTCGTGTCCATCATGTTTAAACGTCGAAAAACATCAATCAGTCTTTGCGTAAATTGTTCCCGCCGTGATTCGCTCAGCTGACGCATCTCCTGCCACAGTTGCACATCAGCCACCAAGAGTCGCTTCGTTAGAAGGGCGGCTGTTCCCAAAGACGCGGCGTCCCGATTCGATGACGAAATACTGCCCCATTCAAAAAGAGCGTCAACGATAGACATGAGGTCTTTTAACGAAAGAGCACGAGCTAGTTCCTTTCCACTCTTTGAGCCGGCGACCGACTCGGCTTGTTCCACTCGTTCAGCTATTGCTGCATTAACGGCACTGAAAACCATATCTGTGACGTACCTCAGCATCACCATCTCTGACTTGGCCACGGAGTCGCTCACCTCTCTTCTCTGCCGACTGTGATGCTGGCGGTGGCGAAAAACCTGATTCAGGCCACAATGCTGATCGCTGGGTGCGCTCCGAGTCATTTGGTACCGCTCTGTCACTAGAGACCAAAGCACACTAAGCGTAAGAAGGAGACCTGGTAAGTCGCTCGGTTGAAGCATCGTGTCGCCGCTGTTGGAAGAGGCACGGGCCCCTCCCACCCAAACACTCTCCAGAACAAAAAGTGCTGCTGTAATGAAACGGCCTTGCGCCTCAATCCCCTGCCGCTTTGCATCTCGCGCCGCACGGACCAATAAATCAAACAAGATTATAAGCGTCTGTGCAGGAAGTTCGTCTGCGAGTGTTCCCACGCTGCGGCTATTGACCGCGTCAAGGTGCTTGCTCCGAAGTGCCGCCTGCATTTGTCGCTGCTGTAGACGTGCCCGAGCCCGAACTGAGTTCAAAAGGGCAGACTCCATTCCCTGTTTGCCGTGCCCGCGGTACAGCTTAGCCCGTTGTCCCCTTGTAGCAAAAGCAAAAAGTCGGTTTTGCCTGGACTTCTCCAGAAGTGCCCTCTGTGTACCTGTAGACAACTGTGGAAATACGAACATCACAAGCCGCGTGAGCAGCTGCTGCGACGCATGCTCTCCGGTTTGAAGAAGCTTCATCGACTCCAGACCGAGCAATAGTCGTGCAGCCTTGACAGGCGAGAAGCCGAGGGAGGGCTCCGCCGTCAACTGCGCAAGAAGAGCACACTTGGCCTCTTCGCCACAGCTCAGCATCGCATCCTCGAGGCGGCGTAGTGTCCGGTGCATAAGGACCTCCCCTGACGCCGCATGGGCGCGCAGCGCCAGGAGGGAAGACGCGGTTGCCTGCAGCACCGAAAAGAGCTCAAATAACTCGTTCGCCTCTCCGTAACGGGTGACAATGGCAGTTGTCTCCAGTGACGGCAAGACGTGGGAGCACATCGCTAGCGTCTCTAACACCAACGGGACGACATCGCAGGATGAGGGCGGCAACCACCGCAGTTGCGGAACCTTCGTCGCTGCGTCACCCGCAGAGCTGGTTGCAGACACCGTTGCCTCAGCCGTCTCGCGGGCAGCGTTTGACAGAGGTGCTTCCTCTGCCGCCGCTGTCGACATCATTTCCATCATCGCCGCCATCACCGGAAATTGGCTGTCTGAAGTTGGGCTGACGGGTGCCCGCGCGGAGTCCGATGCGGTTGGGCCCTTTTCGTGCCGCAAACTCACTCGGGCCACGCTCCTGCGCCGCATCCCCCGTGAGGGAAGGGATGCCACAAACCGCGGCGCACGTGCATTTAGCGCGTGACCCCTGCAAACATCCCGCAGGGCGCCGAAGCTGAGACGGGCGAGCGACAGAAGCATCACAAGCAACGACGGTGCCGTGGTGGAGGCGTTATTGCTGCCATCATTCGGCAGTCTGGAAGCCCGCACCGCCGCGACCCACACATCTTCGCGCAACAACACACGCCACAACCTCGCGGAGATGTATGGACGTGAGAGAAGCGAGCTTTGAAGCAGCAGCACATCCGCTTTGGCCTCGCTCACAGCTTTTCGGGCGGCTTCCAGCGTAAACGTGTCTTCTCGTCTCTTCCGCAGGGCGCGTAACGCCTGCTCAGCATTTCGCAGCTTCAACTCCAACCGACCCATGTGGTGGCGGTAAAGTTTTCGCCGCTCCTGCTCCACAAAGTGCAAGGATAAAAGCAAACGCAGGGTGCATTCTGGTCGGCGCAGAATACACTTCTGAGACGACATTGCCGTGGATGCGGGGAAGTTGGCTCCCTGTTGTGCCACAGCCTTCCCGCTCCAAGAAGGGGCCACGCCCACACCGCCAAGAGACTGTGCTTGTGATGGGGCAATTCCCGCAAATCCCGTACTCGGGGGCTGAGGCCCCTGGCGCGCCACCGCCTTCGCTGCGGACGCTTTCCTGCGACGGGCACCGGGGAGAAGGCTGCGTTCCAGCAGAGAGAGGGCCACCGGCACTTGACGAAAGAGCAACTTGTCCTGCACGCCAGCGCTTCTTCGCAGCTCCGCGCGCGGTCTGGCGTCCACGCCAGGATGCAAGGAAGGAGTGGACCGCCAAATAGCCTCCTCCTTCACCAGACGACGAAGCTGCAGCTCTACACGCCGGAGCGCAGCGATGCGCTGGGAGACAAGCATGATTCGTTCCCCAGTGAGACTTCACGCCGAGCTTCGGTTCCCTGCACCCCTCCCCCCCACTCCCGCTCGCTCCTACTTTTGTTCACAAGTACCCGTGCAGGGGAAACAACACAATGACTAGCAGGAGGCAGTGAAAAAAAAGGGGGAATTGGGCGGGGGAAGTAGTGCCATGATAAATACAACCAGCGAACAGGGGCAATAAAAGAAAACAAGCTAACCAAAAAGAAAAAAAAAGGCAGACAGAGAGACGCGAGAGGCACCTTTCTGTCGTTCCACTGTGGGGGGGGGGCAGCAGGCAAGAAGCTCCGGTACAGAAAGAGCCCAAAAAGAGGGTGCCTTTTGACTAGCCGCCCCCTCGCCCCTCCCCCCACCCCAAATTCACCAAGACATCGCACATTCGCGGACGGCCTCACGCCGCCGCCGACGCCGAGGTTGACTGAAGAGTGGGAAAGATGGGGCGTGGGGCGAAAGGCGTGCGTGGATCCAATGACTGCATCGTCATCAGGAAACCATTTCCATCACAAAGGAAGCAAAACAACAACAACCAATTCTCAGGGGTAACAAAAGAAAAGCGCAAGAAACAGACCTCGAACACAACAAAGCAAATAAACAAGAAAAAAAAAAAAGAATTATGCTGGAGAAACAAAAAGAAGGAAAACGGACAAAGCAAAATTTCCGGATGAAATTGGGCCAGTGCGCGAAAAGATGGCATTTCTTCATTTGCTTCGCTTCACTTTCCCCTCCTCCTCTCCGGTTCCTAATCTCCTTCTGGGCGTTTGTCACTACTCCCCACCCGCCCACTTTTGCCGTGAACCTCAGAAAGATTGGGCCAGAGCGATTGGGCCAGAGCGACTGTCTACCCCTCTCTTTTTTTTTTGACCTGAAGCTAAAATGAAAAATTAACTTCCCGGCAACAGTATATGCAGTTCAAACCTCCTGCGTTTATACCGGATTTCGCTCATCAACACATCGCCCACAGAACCGTTTTTTTTTCTTTTTTTTTTCCCGTTTCCATTTTCTCAGAAAAATTAAGAACTGCGGCTTCTCCCCCATCCTATCCCTTTTATAGGTACATGCATGCATACATATATGTATATAAATACTTGAATACGCATCTTGATCCCGCCCTCAACACTTTTTCCATACAGAGGGAAGACACAATGAAGCAAGATTGCAGTTTGGTTCAATGCACCCAAGACTCCAATTCATAAAAGATGTATCCCACACATTCATCAAAAGCAAACAAATGAACTCAAAAGACATTTTATGATAACTGCGTTCCGTATGAGCTTACGAAGTGGCAGTAGTTAGGGCCCGCAACCACCGGACCCCTTCGCGTAGAGGGGAATATAGTAGGGGGGAAGCTGGGGTGAGGATCACAGAAAACGGGAATAGCTGCAATTGCGCCGTCTCGCAATGCGATATCCTTGGAAATCAAAACAAAATTAATGGATGAAACAACATGGGAGTTCAACAAGAGACGCTATCATCCACCCTGCCCCTTTCAGGCGCACGCTACTTCCACACACACTTCTAACAAATGATCGTGCGTGCATGCACTTATTGACTCACTAGTATGATGAATACATGAGATCAAATTCTGTTGTTGCTGTTGTTTTTTTTTTAGTTCCATTTTAATCTTCGCTTCGCCTTCGTTTTTGTTTTTATCACGTCTCCTTTTCCCCCCGCTCACCGGTGCCTCCCACTAACCGTCCCACTCCATGTGGTGTATATAAAACGTTCACACCCCAGACTGATGTTCTCCCTCCCTCCCTCCTTCCCCCCCCCCCCCAACACGCACGGGCCAATTTCATCACAAGTATCGTTTCATAGCCACTTTTCCCACATTTTCTTTTTCGCGTCCTACATTCTTCCATTCATGCCTGGCGTCAGGCGCGGATGAACAAGATACGGCGGCGGAGACGGCCACCCCCAGCCGAGGGATGGCATACCCGCCGTGCTGTACAACGCACCAATGTTAACGGTAGGCATCATTCCCGCCGGCTGCTGTGGTAGGACAGGCGGCGGGAGACCAAAGGTGGGCATAAACGGCGGAGTAGCCACTGGGGTCATTTTTCCCTCCACGTAGGAGCGCTGCGCGGGAGGGGTGTGATGCGAGGACGACGGTGTTCGCGGGCACGCCCGCGCGCCTTCGTTCTCTTGCGCCCTCGCCAAGCAGGCGTAAACGTCGTTAAACAGCCCGTGTGTAATGTCCTTTGTAACCTCGAGGGAGGCCGGGCATTCCACAGAGAAAAGAACCTCAACAGCAGATCCACGCAAAAGCGACGCAAGTTGCTGAATAAAAGAGTAGAGCTCGCTCGGAACTACACTAGCACACGGGTCCGAGCAAAAAACAGTGATGCGCTTAAAATCCACCTGGTACTCCACACCAGAGACAGTCAGCGAGTACCCGCGTTCCCGAATCAGTCGCTGACACACATTATAGGCCTCTGTATCGCGACGGCGAGCGTAATACACTCGCTTCTTACCCTTGTTCATTCCCCGACGAATGACACGTGGAAGTCGCAGTAGCGTCTCCTTGTTGGTCCCAGGCTCCACAGCCTCTAGAGGTTTTGAGGCGTCCTCTGGGTAAAGAACTTCCCGCGGTAGTTGGGCAAAACAACTCGGACGCGATAATTCTTCCCGCATTTGTGAGGTGAGGTCGCCCACAACACGACCCATATTTTCCCCGGAGTGGCTTTCCACAGACACAAGATCCCCAACACCAAAGGTCCCCCATTCACTCTGTGGCACGTAAAAGACACCGTACAACTGCTTAAATTTTACGAGAATGTGTGTCATGATGGAACCCCTCCCCTCGACCTCCCCTCCATCCCGCTCCGATTTCACCTCTCTCTCGCCTTCCACAGGTTCTCGGATTTGGTGAGAAACATCTCTTTGACTGAACAAGCTAAACGACTGCTGATGACCCAGTGGTGCGGTTTCAAACACAGATTCCGTGCAGGACTTATCCTTTCCAATTGGTGTGACGCATCCCTTGCTTTCACTTGCCAACTCTAGACTCTTTTCCGCGTCATTTCCACGCGCCTCCACTTCGCTCCGGTCCCACGCTGCAAGGGAACGCACATGTCGCCTAGGAGGCTGGTCCCTTGACTCATTGGCGCCGGCGATACACTCTGAGGAGACACGACCAAGGCGCAGGTACTCCCTTGTGTCCACTGTGAAGGCCAATTCCGAGCTCACTTCCTTCCACGCGGTTGAGTCCCATGAAAATTGCTCGCGGCTGCTCATTCGTGAATGTGTTGGAGACCGTACACTGCCGTTGTTTAATGAGAAGCTTCCTTGAGAGCGAGAATGGTGTCGTCGGTAACGAGGGTGCACTGTCAGGGTACTCACGAACACCGTGTCTTCTGCTTCCTGTTTGCCCTCCTTTGACACTGTGGTCCGTGTTTGCAACACCGGCGGTGGCTGCTTCACGTCTCGCGCGCCGCAGTGCAAGCCATGCGCCGAAGCCCATTGTGACACATTGTCGCCCATTCTAGTTGTGCTCACGGTCGTGGAATTGTTCGCGTTTTTTGCGCTGCTCTCCTCGTCGCTGGCCATCGGCACTAACCCCACAGGCTTGGCCCCGGCGGCAGCCACAATGGTCTTGCCGTTTTCCTCCTCCATCTATCGCCGGATGTTTGCAATGGCCGCGTCTGCACCTCCTCTCCCCCACCACTACGCTCAGTCACCTCTTCCTACCACTCCCTGCTACCTATCTTTGCGACTCAATTCCCTTTCCTTCGTTTACTTCCTTCTTTCTCTTCCTGCGGCGGCGCTAACACGCTCACTCACTCGCACACACACACTCACTCGCACACACACACGCACGCAGAGGGAAATACACGAAAAACCAACAACAGCAATGAAAAAACAAAAAAACAAAAAACAAAAAAAAACACACAACGCTAAAAATGAGCGTGCGGCACCCCTGCAAAGCCCAAGGAGAATAAATAAGAAACCAAAAAAAAAAGCTACAATGCCTGCCTTGTGGTTGTTGGTATATATATATATATGTGTGTGTGTGTTTTTGTTGTTTATTTCCTGCGGGTTACCGCACAAACGTCTTTCTTTTTGTGTGTGTTCTTCTTCTTTGTTGTGTGTATAGATAGAATATACGGGCCTTCCTTTGGCTGCGCCCCTCAAATTGGGTTGAAATCCTACGCCCGCAGTGTGCTCGCGGGGCCGCGGGCGGCAGAAGAGAAGAGGCGGGGGAGCGAAGCGGGTGGCAGGGCGGCGCCGACGACGCAGTCGTCTCGCATTGACGCGGCTCCACGCATCTTTTCGGCGGCAGCAGGAGGGAAGCTGGAGAAGCGGAAGGAAGCAAGCACGCCTCACCGTTTTTCACGCCTCACCCTGGCGCCGTTGTGAAGAGAAATAGTCACGCCGCGTGCAAACGACACTCCTCCACAACAAGAAAAAAAACGAAGTGAATAATACTATGAAAAATAAAAAGACACAAAAGACTCTGTGGATGCAAGCAACAGTTAATCGGCCTTCCCGTTCGTGTCCTCCGCAGATGGCGTAGTCCATTCAAGTTCTGAAAGAGCCCCTGCCACTCTTTCGTGACGCTCCCATTTAGCCTTTTGCACCGCCCGACGCCGCGCAGTGGCCTCGTTCAGCTCACGGTACCACGCACTGCGTGCCAAGCGCCGTGCCCGGGACGCCCCCGGCGAAGGAAACCGCCGCTGTGCAGAGAGCGTCTCCAGCAGCGAGGACCGTAGCAGCTTGCATGTGGTGTACGCGGCAGAGTGGTGGGCCGCGGCGATGTCAGATACGGCAGCAGTCAAGGCCTGCTCTTCGTTATGCCAGTACCTCCGCAAGGCGTTGCTGTGCAACAAAGGGGCTGAAACAGGAAGAGGAGAATCCACACTCTCTTCTTCTTGCGCGCGTGGCGGCTCTGTTTTGAAGTCCTCTGCCGTGTCTTGGGTGGCATCGCAGCCGGAACGCACCATGGTTGCCAGCGCGGCCAGGAGAAGCGCATCCAATGCGCGTTCGCATCTCTGCGCGTCCAGGCGTTTGCGCACAAGCGCAGCACCGTCTGTGACAGCATTACAAAGGCATCGCACACTCTCATCAATGGCCCGCATACGCCAGGAGAATCGCGAGCACGCGTCGGAAACGGCGCGCTGGGATCTTCCTAGGGTAAGCAGGACACCGCCAAGTGCGGCCTGTATCGGCCGGCCGAGCGCCGGCGCCGCGCCAACACCGTCCAGAGAGGTGCTTGAAGAAAAATCCGGCGGCGGGGACGAGCAGCGACCCACGATGTTGGGCGTCACCACCTCGGAGAGGGCAGCCACCGCCGTTTTCTCGTGTGAGTCGTGCTTGGTGGTCTCCAGCGTCACCGCAATGGCTGTTAAGAGCTGCAGCACGCGCTGCTGGCTCTGTCGCAGCTGCTCCCACCGCCGCAGCTCGCCTTCCACCCGGCGCATGGCCTCCTGCGGAGTTGTAGTCGAGGCCATAGATGTCTTTCTTCCGCAGCACAACAACACGCCCCGACACAAAAAGAAAAATGAAAAGAAAACCGCATCCCTCTGTTAGTTCTCTTTTGCCTTCAACACGGCAGAGAAAAAGTACACAGAGGCATTCCCGGCCAGAGATCGATATGCAAGCTGCGCGCACGCGACTGGATGCAACTCACCTCCACTGACGCTCGCCGACGCACACGCTTGAACTGGCCGGTGTGGGGCCTCGAGGCGGGGCATGTGTGGCCCACCGCGCCGCAGAACTTCACCCGGAAATTGGAACGGCATCATCATCAACAACAGGAAGAAGACCCAAGAGAAGCAGCTTGTGCTTCTTTTTTTTTTTTCTTATCCGCCGTTATGTGTCGTCGCTGAACACCCACACCCACCCACACACTCGCACAGGTATTCACAGTGTGGGTAGAAACAACCGGAGGGGCCTCGCACTTGCATTCCGCAGCAAGTCAGTCAAAAAGCAATGAGCCACCTGCAAAGGACTTCAAAAGATAAAAAAGCAACACGCTTTAATTCGCGACCGTGCGGGGGTTCTCTATATTATAGATCTCCCCTGCCGCGCGCTCCCTCCCTCTCCTTCTCTTTCTCCCTCTCTCTCTTTGTCCCCCACTCGCTCGCTATTTTTACTTGTGTGCCAGACGTCTCTATAGCAGCAGCAAAGGGGCAGAGGCGACCAGCCGCACCTCAACACCCACACACACACACACGCACGCACAGGCACATCCATGCACCCCGCACACCGCCCTTCCCACCCCCCTCCACAGCTAGCAGCTCAGTGTCATTCGCCGAAAGTTGATGTACATGGAGGCACTGTTGAAGAAGTGCACAAACGCCGCCGCCAGAACAAACACGTGCCATATCTGGTGGCTTGAGAGGTACACGTCAAACTTTCCAGGGAAAAAGACCTCGGGAATCTGAAAGGCATACACAAACACCCCCACCCCGTACAAGGCCATCATCAGCAGCAGTCCCTCCACGAAGGAGGAAGAGACGCTGCCAGGGAGCAGGAGGTAGAGGTGGGTGATGGGGAAGAGGCCACTGCTCACCATGCAAACATAGAACAAAGTTCGGCAGTTTGCATACTGCTGCTGCGTCCATTGCCTGAAAAAAGGACCCAGCAAGCCAATAATTCCCAGTGTGGAAATCATGCTCAAATACGTCAAACGCCACAACGGCTCACACGTGAAAGCAAAGTAGCAGAAGGGGAGAAACGAGCCAACCACAAGAAATGTGATACCAAAATAGTCCAGCGCATGCGCCCAAGAATATACGGTGCTGCTCTTGTGCGCCAGCAGTGTGTGAAACAGACAACTGCACAGCATGCACATCAGACATCCAAAGGAATATGCCGCAAAGAGAAAGAAGGTTAGTCCCTTCGATTCAGTATGGCTAGTGGCGAGTGTGCGTTCGTCAGCGTGTTGCTGATGCGAAGAGGGAATAAGTACAATTACAAAGAACCAGGCAATGACAAAAATAAAGGCCACAAAGCCAATAAGATGGGTCCAAATGTTGAATGTTTCGTTGTGAAGAGCCAATATGCTGCGTACACACATTCGTGCGGTGTATCCCACACGGTATCCCGTTAAAATGTACACGTTGTCGGAAAGATGCTTCGGCGCCTGATCAATAGTGTACAAGGGAAGCTCGGGATTGTTGTTGTACGGTGTCCGTTTCAGCGCATCCAGCGCGAAGTCTTGTTGCCCCGGTGGTGTGCTCTTGCTGTCACCTTCCTGAGCCTTCAGCCGCGCTGCAGCGCCGCCACCGTTCTTGGCCTGTCGCATCTCTTACTGAAGAAAATACGCAATGGTAGGAGGTAACGTATGCGTTGCTGTTGTTTTCGTTGTTGGTGCCGGTGCACGACGCGCAAGCATGCGTGCGCACAGCGAGAGGTGGAAGAGGCAGCGACAGCAGGAGGAGGGAAGAGGTTAGCGAATGCCCGTGGCCATTGGAGCACGCGTCGCGGGTTCCAAAGCGACTCAAAAGTGCAGAAAGGGCAGGGCTCCTCCACCCACCGAGCCTCAGGACGCGGCAAGGCGACTACCGCAAAGTACCACCGCGGGAGAAAGAAAGAGATCCAACGAAACGCCCGTCAGAGCGGGGTGTGGGTGGGCGGGTGGGTAAAGGGAGGGACTGTGGCACACGTCTTGGCTTACGGCTCATTGGGGATTCGCAAAGACGCGGTAGGAAGAAAAAAAACAACAACAACACACACACACACACACACGCACAATCAGTCAACACGCACCTCGGCTCAGCGCCCACTGTTGGTAGAGTGACGTGCACGCAAAAAAGTGGACGCATGCCGCGGCAAAAACAAGTGCGTGCCATATTTGATGGCTGCTGAGAAACAAATCAAACTCGCCCGGATACCAACGCTCGGGAATCCGCAGGCTGTAGAACAACACACCCGTCCCGTAAAGAAGAAACATGAGGGCAATACCAACCACCGGTTGCAGCGTCTCTGCATTGTGAGGTTTGAGTAGAATATTGTGCACAAACGGCACAACTCCAGTGAAAACTGTGGCGACGTAAATAATAAGACGCAGCCAGTGAAACTTCACGTCACGCAACCAGGGCAAGGCAGACACGCCAAGGCATAACCCACCAAGAACGCCGATGCACACCATGTAGATCGCCCGAGAGAAGGGTTCACAATAAAATCCAAAATAGAGCGGCGGATAAAAACTCGCCACGATAAGTACACTGATGCCGTAGTAGTCCATTTGTTCCACCAACGACAACAGCATCCGATCGCGGTGGCCCAAGAACAAGTGATAGACGGTGCTGCACCCCATGCAAAGCAGGCACGCAAAGCAAAACGTGCCGTAGATAACGCACTGTACAACGTCCTCATGGGTGAAAAAGACAACCGAGAAAAACAAGATGGTTAACACCCAAAATACGATAAATCCCACACCATGCGACCAGACATTGAGTGTTTCGTTGTGCAGCGCGAAAAGGCTGCGCAAACACATACGCGTGGTATAACACGCTCTATACCCAGTAATGATATACGGATTCCCTTTGAGATGCTGTGGAACACACAAATCGTCCCTGCTGTACAGCGGCAGCGAGACAGAGGACTTACGCATTCCAGTTGAGCTACCAACTCCCTCCTTCTTATTCGTCGTCTCCGTATTCCTTACTTCAGCGCCTCTGTTCCGGTCAAAGGCAGCAGAAATCCCCATAGGGGCATACACGCACACACTCGCGCCGGTTTTCTCGTCAAACAACTGTCTTTTTTTTTTTTCAAATTGAAGTAATAATGGAAAAAAAAAAAGCAACAACATAAAGAGAGCAGAGTGTGAAGTCGACACGTGCATGCGCAGAGGAGCAGATAAATAAACAAATTCTTTTTGTATAAGTGTGCATTCGCACAATTAAAAACGGCGAAAAGGAAAGGAGATTATTCCCAGACACACACACATACGCACACAACCTGCCACAATATCGTTCCTTCCCTCATTTCCCAAACAAGTAAGCGGAAGCATCACAGTGCCACATCAGACGACAACGCCTCCCAGGCAGCTCGCACCTTTGCTATTCCTTCACTGGCAGAGAACACGGCCGCAGCAGCATCGTTCTGCAGCACCAATAACCTCGTTGCACAGGACAAGACAACTAGTTTCTCATCACCACCAGACGCGTCCCATGAACGTTTTCGCCTCATCTGCTGTTCAGTATGACGAGCTCCATGAAGGTACATCGACAGGTGAGGAGCGATAACGCAATCACCGCGGAAAAAACGACTCCGCTCCGCGTTCCGGCGCACTGCGATGCCGTTGGTTTGCGCCGAGTCGGGCAATATAAAAACAAAGGACAGTGGGCGTGTGGCTGGCGTGTCCTCCAGCCACTGCAAGGCGCGTTCCAAGCCGGCGCCAATCACCTCATGGTCGAAAGGCGGATTCGCCTCAAGTGACAGCGAATCGCCATCCAAGGGCAGCGACGGCGCGGATGCAAAAAAATTGCCGCAAGAACCAAAGAAAGCATCTGTGTCAGGAAACGCGGAGAAATACCGCGGCAGCGTGCAATTCAACGGACTCGCGAAGCATTCCACTGTCACGTGAAAGGCACTGGCTAACGAGGCAAATACACCGGGGGGAACAGCTGCGTGCCATCCGGACTCCAGCTGCCACTCCCCACCGCTCAGCCCGGCGTACCGCAGTAGAACTAGAGCCAGGGAGAAACCAAAGTGGCCATCCTCGCAGCATGAGGCCAACCGCCGCAACCGGGCCACGTGTTCCGCTTGAATCTCCAAGGTGATGAGTACCTCGTGCGAATCCTGCTGCACCGTTTCACTTGGACAAACGGCATGAAACCACCCCTCGTCAGTTTTGTCGCAGATGTGAATTTTCAGCTGCACCGTGTCACACCCGTCGCGTTGGGTGAGTGTGAGTTCCTTGAGCTCGATAGCCGTCCTCTCTCGCCTCAGGCACGCTTTAAGCTCCGCCAAGCGCCTGCGCTCCTCGTAGAAGAGAATGAGCAGTTTGTCTGTCAGCGCCCAAGCCTTACGCCGCTTTTGGTTAAACGAAGTAAGCAGCTTTGTGGATGCGCCGCAGAGTTTTTCAAGAAACCAATTCGGCGCGCTCCTTGAGGTACGGCGCGGTTGAATGCATTCGACTGCTGGCAACAGCTCGTCATGAAAGAGGGGGGCCTCCTCGGCCAGCCTCAACTCATCCACAGGAACCTCATGCCTGGAGTCCTCCTCATTCTTGCCGAGTAGTATTCCCAAGACGCGACCCTTCGTGAGTGCAACACCTGCAAGCGTGTATGTGGCAGACGACAAATTTGGCGACCCTTTTCCCTCGCAGACGTTGGCGCGGCGATGAACGTCCAGCACAGGATGCACCCAGTGGCGGGTGTCACGCTCCGTCAGGCCCTGCGCAACGGCAGCCTGCAGACCCTCAAAAATAACCGCCGTCATTAGACCCCTGCAGTCGTTTCGCTCGATCGGGAGTTCGCCTGCCACGAGAGCCGCAAGCGTCTTCGCCAGGCGACACGCACTGCTGTAGCGAAGCAACTCCGTCAAAAGCCTCACTGTGAGTAGCGAGGCGCCACAGGCACAGGCTTCCTCCACCGCGCCCATTTCGCTGCGCCCCGCTACCAAACGCAAAAAAGGCAAAAGAAGCAACAAGGAGGAATAGCCCCAACTGCCCACCACCCTCCGCTTCGCTTCCAACACACAGAGAAAGAGAGTGAGAGTAAAAAAAACACACACACACACACACATAAACAAAAAAAAAGTTTTTTGCCCCGCACGCTTCTGAGAGCAAAGCCGCGTTTGCAGGTTTAACTCTATTCGCGATTTCTGCATGCGTGGAAAATTCGTAAAACGACACATCAACCGTGCGATTGTCTTTTGAACGGGCACGGGGAGAAGTTGCTGTTGGGCCCAATTTTTCCTTCACAGTTGATCCGCGGTGTCCAAACTCTTCAGAGCGGCGTCGGTGACCAACGCCAGCGGCGCCCATTGTTTCGGTTACGGGTGGACTGCGGAGTTCCTCGGCGTCCAGGAAAAGACAGCGCCTGCGGTGGCAGACTCGTTGACAACATCCCTTGAGGCCTCATCGTGAACAAAGCGCCCAAAGAGGCATTGACCAACCTCAATGATTGTTCGCATGAGGCTTGCCTGTTGAAGTGTCCTGCTCGGCTCAAGTTTGGGGAGACGGCGCAAACGTTGTCGTCGTCGTGTCCATAGTGGCAGTTCAAGCGCGTGGAGGCTTGACATTTGTGTCACAACGCGAGGAGTCTCCGTTGAAACTCGAGCATCAGTTCGTGCAGCAGCAGCTCCTTGCACACATCAAATGTCTCGTCCTCTTTTCGACACGCAAGCATCGCCTTTAGTTGTGCATATTGCTCCTCTCTGCATTTGCTTACGAGAGCGCCAATGCCTGGCTGCAGGTTACCAGTCTTTTTTAATTCCTCCATGTGACGCTGCACAGCCGCACGAAGACGCAGATCCGCCTGGTGAAGCCAACCACTACGGGAGGCCTTCACTGAATCACACAGTTGTTGCTGGCTCTGCTTGTCCCTCTCTTTTTCTCGTCTCTTCGTCTCACTTTCAAAGAGGGCTTTGCCTTGCTCCTCCAACTCTTCCATTACGTCCTGTGAAAGGAGTCGTTCCAAAAGCCTTTGGGCAAGCGCTGCTGGAGGTAAACCACAGCTTGCGTTCACATCCTCAAGCCGTATCACTGGCCACGGGGCAGTGGACTGCCGAGGCAGCGTCACCCAGCAATTATCGTCCACTCGAGGCTTGGCAGAAACGTCAAGGCCAACATCAAAAGACTCACTCATACTTGCAATGACATGAGGAGGAACATATTGTGGTGTCTCGATGCGGTGTTCATTGCGCCCGAGACAAACCTCAAGTGGCGTATTCAGTCTCACCTCCACCATGTTTACAAAAACAATGTCGTCAGGGAGACGGAAGCCGCCTTCGCTCTTTGCCTTATTGCGCCCCCAATAATGTCGGAGCAGCTCCTTGTCCAAGTCTCTGCAAAGCTTCCAGTAGGACGCCCTCATGCTTCGATATGATAAGGTGTCCACCAAAAACACAAATCGTGTCGTGGGTGTTCCCGTTTTTGACCCATTCCTCGTCCTGTCCTCCTCCTCAGCGGTTTGCAGGCATTGGCGCAGCCGCTGTGACGCCGCCTCACGCACCTCGTTGCAGGCCCTTTTCCACGTTTCTGGGGTGAAGGCCGCCCCACCACCTTGCATCGCATTCTCCTCGTCATTGGAAGACATGAATGTGTCCAGTTCAAGCACCTCCTCAATCACTCCACAGGATTGAGCATCTGCGCCCTCCCCCGCGGGCTTACCCGCCCCTGCAAGTTGCTTTAACGCCAGGCCCAGCGTCGATTTTCCCGCCCCTGGGAGCCCAGAAAGGAGAACGAGGCAAACCTTCATGTGGAAGCGAGTGTTTCACGCCATGCACTCACCTACACACACCTCCCCCCACCCGCGTCTTTTTTTTCTCTTCCACGGACACTTTTCACAGAGCATTCAGCCGCATACACGAACAGACCAGGCGTCAAGGAAACGGAAGAAAGGGCAGAATACGAATTGCCCACACAGCAAAAGTTTATTTATTTATCTTCGTTGCTTCCGCCCCTCCTTCTCCTTCACTCCACCTGCTCTTCAGACAAGACACACACAGAAAAAAAAAAAAAGCTGTTGAAGAATACAAAAGAACGAAAAGAGAAAACATCCTTGCCGCGACCCGGGATCGAACCAGGGACCTTCAGATCTTCAGTCTGACGCTCTCCCAACTGAGCTATCGCGGCGCCGCGCGGCTCTTCCCCTTCACCTTTCTTTCCCTCCATCGCCCCCTCCCTCCGCTTGTCAGTCGTACAATACAGAACCGCGCCGAAGCGCCAGTATCACCTTCTTCAAGCAAACAGAACGGGCCGTTTCTTCCACTGAAGCTGCGGTGTCCGACTTCGGCTTCGCCGCGTCGCCGCCGCCCGCCGTGCCTAGAATCTCTGTGATGAGTGTGATCAGATAGACCCGCAGGTCGGGGTCATCGATGAGGTCGGCGCAGGAGAAGATGTCACCGACGCATTTGGGGGTCAAAATAGCTCCATCTTCCGTGTCCTGCTGGAGAGCCTTTTGCCGCTCCGTCAGGTGCCACGTCCCACGGTTGCCGCACGCCCGGGCATTTCGAAGAGTGTGCTTCAAAGCCAGCTGGAGCGTCCCAAGCTCAAGCGACGTGAGTTGGCCCGGCAGGGCGGAGGAGAGATTGGACAACGTCCGCTGTGCGTGGAACCACACACCAGGCGACAAGAATTGCCTATTCCTATGCAAAAACCCACATGCCGTGGAAATAAGGAGTTTGTTGCGTCGCAAATTTGCATAGAAAACCCTCTTGTTTGTGAAGGCTGAAACCACGAGCGAATGAAACAGCGGGAGTAGGACATCCAAAAACTCCTGACTTAACCTCTCATCGACATCCCGCACGACCCCATCCTTTGCCGCCTTGCCTGTTTGCCCATTCATAGCCAACTTTTCGGCAATCCAATTTTTCTTCGCAAACCGCAGCATCGGCACCAGGTAGCGGTCAGTGGGAGTTCGCGGAATCGGTGAAAGCGTTGCCCGCACCGCAACCAACCACATTGCCTGCGCGCTGCGTCGCAAGTATTTCCAGGTGTTATGCCCACAAGTTCCGCTAAACTGCATCTGCGGCTCACGTGGGGCAACCTTTTCAGCGGCAAACGACGTCGTCACGGTTATTACTTGTTTCCCTAACCGCCTCGCCTGCTTTAGGGTGGCGAAGAAGTGGGACATCTCGCGGTAAACGACGGCACCCCGCTCGATTGTCAGACTCCGTTGCTCCCAATTCATCTCCCGCAGAATGGCGGCATCGGTGGCGTGCCGCAGTGCCACGGACGCCGCCGTCAACACCTCTCTGTCCACCACATGAAAACGCACCGCGCGAAGCGTCAGGTCCAGGCAATGCTGTGCAGTGTGTGAGTTGATTTCCTGCACCTTGCTCGGCACCGATCGGAGTGCGGTGAGAATGAGCTCACGCACCTTCGTGGTGTACTGCGGGTTGGAGGTAAAGTCAAACAGCTCCAGCATCTGTAACAGCACGGCGATGAGAAAAGGCGTGGCCGCTAGTGAATCGTGGTGAAGCAGCTTCATGGCAATCGCGTGAAACAAATTCTTCAGCGCGGCATCCTCCGCCCTCTTGGACTCCCTCGCCTGGATTTCACGCAACAGCGCAGTGAAGGCAACGATGGCGGGGATGAGCGCCGCCGCGCACTCCTCATCCGACAAGGGCCTGTCCAACATGCGCAGAATCCGCTCAGCCAACAACTGTGACACCGTGGCCAACATGTGTTGATCGACACAGTCGTTTCTTTGAAGGAACCGCACAAAATCTGCTGATTCGCGAATAAATTCGGAATCCAGCGCGTCATCGACCGTCAGGACCTCCCTAAGCAGCAGTAACGTGGCTGCAAGCTCCTTTGGGGTTTCTAGGGGTGGGAAGAACCTCGTAAACGACATGCGTGTTCGCGCGCCGTTCCGCGACGCCGCCACCACCGCCGTGGAAGCATACGCCGCATCCAACGCGGCCAAAATTCGATTTCCTCCCGAAATCAACTGCTCACGTAAGTGAGCCCCACAGTCACCACGAAGCGTGAGAGCCACGTCAACAAGCAGCAGCCGCAGCATTTTGTGCGGCATTGTCGACAAGGCCTCGGGAGTTGTCAGCATGCCAATCCAGAGTTCTACGGCCTCGCGCTTTGCTGGAGCTTGCAAGGCGCATAACAAACCCGCCAGCGCAATTGGAAAACTAAACTGATTGTGGAAAGTCAAACCCATTGGCTCATAGCGGCTTGCCTTTTGCCGCCACAGCTGCACCCCGAAGCCATGCAGTCGGGTGTCACAGCAGCCAATAAGATATCCCATGAGGGCCCAGTCGTCTGCCCGCGGTGGTGCATCGTCTTGACGAAACGCAGGGAGGGATTGTACGCCTTGCACCACACGCTCCACGATGTGTGTAGAGAGTGGCGTCAAGGTGGGGGCTGCCTCCGTGCCATTATCCTTCCAACGGGCCGCCCGTGACACCGTGACGTGGCGAAGCGTGGAAATAAGGAACAGCAGCTCTGGTTTCTCAAAGTTTTTCCCCCTTCGTTTATGCATTTCCTTCTGCGACAAAACGGCATTGGCGGCCCCCTCGCGTATGCCCTGCTCGACCCTTGGCATCCTGCGAACGACGCGCCGCAGAAGTTCCTCCACAAGAGCGTCCTCCTGCTCCAACGCCACCGCGGAATCCACCTGTGCGGGGTCCCGCCGCTGGCGCAGTAGTTTTCGCGCCATTGTTAATATGAGAGGAGTGGGAAGGTCCTGATTGACGCTAACGAGGCGAATAACCCGCCGCTGCGCCTCGTCGAGCTCCGCATCGTCCATCGCGCGGTCAACGAAAAAGGACAGAAGTATTTTCGTGCTTAACTGGGCGTCGTTCGCAAACAGTGTGGAGGCGTGCGGGCAGTGCAACACAATCCGCGTCATGTTCAGTCTGTCCGTGTGGCTCCGCAGACCCAACGGAACGCTCTGCGTAAACTTGATGACGGTGCGAGCATGCACCTGAAAGAAATTTGGCTGAGGGGCCTCAAAGTGGCGTGTCAACAGCTGCAGAAGCTTTGACACGGAAACCATTTCCCATGCAAGCCACTGCCTACCCACGCGGAGGCCCTTGGTTGCAGAGATGCTCCCTTTCTCCTTTTTATTTTTATTTAGCTGTTTGAAGGGCCCAACACGCGTGGCACGAGGTGGAAAACAAACAACAATAACAACAACAATAATAACTAAAAGAGACGCCAACAAACATCAACGGTTACGCAGAGGAAAAGCTACGGCCGTGTCACTGCTCACCCGTTGGGCGAGCACCGAGGCGATGTAGAACGCAGCCGCCGCCAACAAAATAGTGGCAGAGCCGCATGTTTTGTGCACATGATAAATGCAGAAAAAAAATTGTAGCACAAAACAAAAAAATAAAATAAAATAAAATAAAAACGGTGGCACAAAACAAGAAAAATGGTAGCAAAAAAAAAAATAAACAACAAAAACAACGAAAGTATTCCTATCTCTGACAAACATGGAGGGGGAAGCATACACGCGGCTTTCGCCCTCCGGCAGCAAAACTCGGGTTGTTTTATGT